CCTACCTGGATGAGCGGGGCTCGGTGTGAGGGGGTAACCGGCTCCCGTGCCCGCAGGTTGCCCGGCCTTTCCCGAGCTGCGTGCGGTAACACAAACGCGGAGTCCATGTCTTTTCTTGTAAGTAAACCCGAGCGGATTAGGGTGAGTGTTGAACGCCTTCCAGCTTCCCTCAGACGCCGGTGTGTCGGTACAGCCTGCCTTGCGCTCCTGCGGCGGGGCGGCCTCCGGGAAAGCACCTGAAAGTCCCGTTAAAAGGGGTTAATTATGGGACAGGGGCCGGTGTGCAAGCTCGGGGCTCCTTAAAACCCTGCGCTGAAGTATTTATTGCGTGCACACCCGCATCTCCTCTGTGTGCGGTGAGAGGGGTTTGTAACGATCATAACCATTAAGAAAAAGGTGGAGAAATGCTGATTTTTTTCCAACCCTTCTTCAAGGAGTCCCTGTCTCACCTGTTGTGCCAACGACAGTTTCTGTTTGTGGGGTTTTTCTAAGCTTAAGAAGCAAAACACAATTTGTTTAATTCTGCCTTTTAAAGTGAGGAAGTTTCATGCAAGAAAAGCACTTTTAATGCCTTCAAGTGATGTTGGTCTGTGTGAGTTTTGAGTCATTGTCACCTAAGGACTCGCTGGTGCTTTCCAGGACTGCCCTCCCTTGCACTAAACAACATAAGCTATTTTTTTCAGTTATTTTAACCAGTAGACAAACTCTAATGTGGGCATGTTTGTGATTGCTTATTTAGTGCTAACTTCATGATCTCTGCAAGCCTGAAATTCTTATGTGTGTTACGTGTGTGTATCTATATTTCTTAGAATCAGAGTAGAACAGAGCTGTAGAAACACTTCTCTACACAACCTAATGCTTGCTGTGGATTTTTAAGCATGAATTCTGAAAGAGAACAACGGCTTTAAAATATTTATGTTCTAGTTTTGCATTCTGTCAGTAGAATTGTAGCTGAAATATTTAACTTCTCTGAAACATCACCTCATTGTAAACAGCTGAAGCTTTCTTTTACACCAATTACACCCAGACAAACAACTTTCATTTGCCTGTATAAGGGACTTGTAGCATGCTAATTATTTTTGCTGTATATTTTTGTGCATTTGTATATTTTTGTGCATGAATTATCTACAGTGATGTGAACTTTATTGCATGCCGGTCAGGAAAAGCAGGAGCACCTGCACGGTTGTTGGGTGCTTGCCATTGTAGTGGCACAAAAAGGGAATATCCTTGTCCAGAGTGAGGATGAGACTCTGATGTTGCAGATTAGTCCCAGACCACAGTAGAGTTTTTGAAATGTTATGGTTCTCTTATAGTCTTTTTGTGGGGAAAGGGGAAAAGAAACTTGTCTCAAGATGGAATAACTAATTATCCAGGGGATTCTTTTTTTTCCTTTCAGCGGTGGGTGTCTGAAAAGTTCATTGTTGAGGGCTTAAGAGAGTTCGAACTGTTTGGAGGTAAGTTTTCCTCTCATTAGATGACACGTGTTAGAAATGTTTTTATTTTAGCTGCAAGGTCTGTTTGTTTCACACAGAATCACAGAACGTTAGGGATTGGAAGGGACCTCAAAAGATCATCCAGTCCATGGTTGTAAATGTGTATCTTAACAGTAAAAGAGATGAATAAAGCTGGTTTTAGCACCAGATCTGGTTACTCAAGCTGGCTAACCATCTAAAGTTAATATGGAAGCGTCCAAGATCTGGCAAGTTAATTGGAAATCAATTTTGCATTGATGGCAGTACTGTTTTCAGACCCTATGTTCTGTATTTGTTAGCATAACCACTTTTTTCCCTATGCAAAAGATAGACTTGGGGTTTGAGAAGGTTAATTGTAATTTTCTAAGTAAAAATGGATTTAAAAAATCTGATGATAGCTCCCTAGCATGCCAGCTGGAAAGCTGAATGTTTTCTATTCTGCTTTGTACATAACGAGTAAAATTGCCTGTTGGGCTGCAGAATTCGTGATCAGTGACACAGAAAGTGATCAGAGCATAGGAAAGATGTCTGGATCTTGAGCTTCCAGGTGCAGTGGGAGAATTTTCCCTAATTTAAATAAACTTTAGATACTTTCTTCTCTATTTAAGCGAAGTTGATACATAATTTTCGAATGTGCTGGGAGCTGTAATAAAAGAATTGTCACCCCACGTTTATGCTGAATATGTGAACAGTAGCACTATTTGAATCTATTTAATTCCCATACTTGTACTACAGTTTAATTATTTTTAGTGCTGCTACCTTACGTGTAAATTAAATGTCTATGAAGTATTGTCTATATCTGATATGAAAAAGTATCATGCAGGGTTACTGACTCAATTTTCCAACTATATTTTTAATGGGTATCTGTTGAACACAACATGGTGAACAATTAATTTCTTTACTCCAGAGCAGCCTCCGGGTGACTCTCGGAGAAAAGTAAGTGGCTTTTGCAGGCTGTGGTGCTGTGGTTCATTGCATGGAGATAATTCCTTGTGGAAGTTTGATTTTTCTTTTTACCTTAGTTATATATTTCATCTCTATCTTTAGCTCTACAAGTGTGGAAACAGGTTTCACCCTGGAGTGGAGATTTTGGTGTGTGGTTTTCAAACTGTATGTGACAAGTCAAAACTTTAAACTTAATCTCTTGGATTTGTATTTGTGTCATTGGCCCCCATGACTTTCTTTTCTGAGATTTAGGTCTGATTCTTCAGAGATGCTAATCTTACAATTCTCTTTTAGAACAAAAGGAAGAGGTTAGTTTATGGGACTGCTGAAAGCTAGGCCCAAAAAATGTGTTGGCCATTCAAACCCAGCATTCACTCCTGAATACATTGATTTTCTTTTCTCTTCCCTGTAGAGCAGCCACAATGGAGGCTCCAACATCAAAACCAAACCTTGTAATTTTCAGTTGGAGATGACTTTACCTCCTGTCTGGTTGTCTTCAGAGCCAATTCTATGCACGCTTACAGAGCTTTGCCTCTTAAAAACTAAAATCACTGGCAAACATGGAATGTCTGTTTAAAAACGTACAGCCAAAAGGCGGCAGCTGAAAACTTGATGTGTTTTGTTCTGCAGGCCCTGATTGCGCACTGTCTGGTCCATAACGAACAATGCTCAACACAACTTTAACAGAATATATTTGTCAGAATGATTTCCCACCTGCCCACACCATCTTGAAACATTTCTGTGTGCAGGTGTTGCTCTAGTTTAAGTTAATTACAAACACAAATTAAGTGCGATTTGATTATAACTGTGTCAGTTCAAGCTGCTTGTAATTGATTCTTTTTGTGCCAGCATTTGTAATTTACTGGCACAAACAAAGCTGAAAATATGAGATATACATGGAATATTTTGTATAAAGTCAAGTAGACTCACACCTTTTTTTAAATTGCTGAGCATTACACATATGCTGGGCTGGAAGCAAATTGAGATTAGCATCTGTTTTGGTTTTGTTAGATTATTCACTTGGGGTT